ACCCCCGAGCTGACTGTTGTAATGGTTTAAAGGCACTTTGGATCAGGATCTAGATATGAAAGCACAGTTGTTTTAATGTTCACATACATCAGATCCATGGAGTATCAAGTAATTTGGAGGTTTGGTTATTTTCCATTAGCAAATATCATCCAACTAAATTTGAGTAAAATGCCCTCTAAATAAGTCAAAGAGACAGGGGCTTTGAATGAGGGAATTAATTATAGCTGGTGTCCTAAGGAAAAGAATCCCACTGTGGCATGGAGAATGTAATTAATGGGAGGTAAGCACCAACAAATCACTCCTTAAAATATTAATGCTATCAAAGAACAGCTGGATAATGAGAGAAACTTGACCCTTGGGGGACTAGCGGAGGTTGCTGTTACTGCTGCAGAACTTTATGCAGTTGTGATGTAATGGAATTCCTCTAAATTTAACAAAAATAATATCAAGAGGTGTGGTTCTGGGAAAGTTATTAGCAGTAAACATGTCTTTGTAGTTTTATCATCTTATTACGGTCACTATATCTTAATTTTGTGGTGGTTCTAAATGACTTTTCCCCTTAATTGCTCAGGATATATACAATCCAAACAACACTCCTGAAAAACAACTTAAAAAAAACAAAACTTAAAGTCTGGTAAGAACATCTTTTTTGATAAATACAAACACAGTACCTAAAAAATTTCTGCAAAAACAATTTTACACATTCCCCATTTAAGTTCTTTAAGTCAAGAAAAACTGTCCCATTGTTTGTTTGTGGATAAAAGCCTTAAAAACTTAATTTGGTTTTACTTAATAGCTTATTATTGTCCCAAGAAATATCTATTTTAAGAGAGCAATAAAGCTAAATATTTACACAGTCCTACTTAACATCTGAAATGTTGGACATTATTTTTACATTCTCATAACTAAATACTAATCTTAATATTTAAAATCAGAAATCAGAAGTAGTTCTTTACTTGGAGTATATTTGAACTTAGATTTTTAAAAAGAAACCGTTTTATTCAGAGTTCAAAGAAAAAAAGCTTCTCTGGACCGCTTCGGACCATCGGGAAGCTGCGGGCGTGGTAAATGCTTCTGACCGCACACTTCTGTTGCTGGTGCAGAGCAAACTTTGTCTCTTTTGTTTCACTCAGCTTGCCAACATCTAAATCAGTGACACGGGAATTCAGCGGTTTGACAAATAGGTTAAGATACGCGGAACATATTCACAGGTACCAATAAACGATGAGAGGAAGTTCAGGATGCAGTAAAAATAAATTCTTGAGTTTCGCCCAGGTTTCACATAACACCAGTTTCATAAGACCCTTCGCCGCTAAAGGAGCGGTGCCCTTGAAAATAGCACACAGGGGACACATCATTTAAATAAATGTGTTTCTCTGCCCGAACAGAAGTTCAGAGCTGCTCAATTATCATTAATTTTGTTCTTTTATTTCCTTTGCAGGCGTGAACGGAGAAGACGTGCTGTCTGACGTTCACGCGCTGCCCTCGGCTGGGTGGAGGTGACCGCGCGATTCTTCGCCCGGCGGCGCGCAGGTTAGGGGGATGCAGGGAGTGCGGGTGTGGGTGTATTTGTAAAAATGGGCCCCCCCTTCCTAGAAAAGTGGAAACGTAGATGGAAAACTCAGTGCAAACATTGGCGGCCCCTAAAAATCATGTTATCCGTCCTGAACTCTTAGAACTGGTGCCCCGGGAATGAGTCCGGATCTGTGCAACAGGCGACAGAAGATTCGACAAGCCTCAGTCACCGCGCTCGTTTTTTATTACATCCATAAAAAGCAAAACCCGAGTAGATAGATGCAGAAACCCGGCAGCCCTCTCCCTCATGCTGCAGAGTTTTCTGGCTGTGCGCGGGGTAGGGTGTGTGCGGGGGAGGGCCTAATCCCCTCAGGTTTAGAGTCGAGTCCTGGGGGAGCGGGGTGGGCGGGGGTGGCCGCGGAAAGGCGGAGGATGGCGCGCGACCCCGAGAGCGCAAAGGCCCCGCAGTCCGCGCCGCGCCCGCTGTGATTAGCTCCTGCGGCACGACCCGGGAGGGCGGACTCTTTCTTAACCCTCGCTGTCTCCCCCTCCCTTTTCCTTTTTAAAGGACGCCTTGCAAGCAGAGCTGTCAGCAACCGGGAGGCCGCTTGTACTTGGCCGCGGCCGGGCTGATTCCTGCTCCCGTGACAGATAGGGGCGGGGGCTGAGGGGCCGCTTGTCCGGGGACCCGCACGTGGGGATCTCACATTATCCTTCCTGTGCGCTCCGCTCGGGGACCCGGCGACGGCCACAAGTCGGGGCGCCGTGCAGCCCTGGAGTTGCCAGCCCCGGGCGCGATGGCTCCTTTGAGGAGTGGCGAGGGAGGTGGCCGCGGGTTCTGCGCGCCCCTCCTGCCAAGAGCATTATGAGCCGGGCAAAGGGCAGCAGCAGCAACCCCAGCAGCAGCCTCTGCCGGCGCCTCCCGCGGGCCCTCGCCAACTCGCCCCCGCGCACCATGCCGATCCCCGGCCTGCGGAGCCCGCGGCGCAGCCCCTGCCGCCTCCCCGGCCCCTGTTAACCCACGCGGGAGGCGGAACCGTGCTGCGCGCGGAGCCCCGGCTCAGCCCTTCGCTCTCCAGCTGCGTCCCCTTCCCGCCCGCCCAGGACGCCCAGCGGCGATGGGGGCGCTGCTGGCGCTCTGCCTCCTCCTGGGCTGGCTGCGCTGGGGCCCGGCGGGCGCCCAGCAGTCCGGAGAGTACTGCCACGGCTGGGTGGACGTGCAGGGCAACTACCACGAGGGCTTCCAGTGCCCAGAGGACTTTGACACGCTGGACGCCACCATCTGCTGCGGCTCCTGCGCGCTGCGCTATTGCTGCGCCGCGGCCGACGCCAGGCTGGAGCAGGGCGGCTGCACCAACGACCGCAGCGAGCTGGAGCACCCGGGCATCACGGCGCGTAAGTGCGGGCCCTCTGGGGGCAGACCCCGCCCGGCCGCCTGAGGCTGCTGTGTGTGCCGGCGGGTGTGCACGCGGGCAGGCGCGCCAGGCCCTCCTGGGTCTACGCAAAGTGGACACAGCGAGCTGGGGGGATCAAGGGAGGAGTGGGTGGTCGCGTTTCAGGTCGGCGAGCCCTATTCCTTTGCAGTCCCGATTTCCGCCACACACAGTCTCCGCGGGTCGGCCCCAGAGAAAGTTTGCAAGGGACAGCGAGGACCGCGGAGCTTGCACCGGGTGACCCTGGGGAAGACAGCTGCAGCTCCCGGGAGCTTGGAAGGTGCGGAGATGGGCTATGGGGACAGCGCCAGGCTGGAGTTCAGGTTTCAGGAGCGGTGAGGACGCCCCAGTGCGCGCCCTGCTCACTCCGGGAGCTTCGGGAAGTGCCGATGGCGCGGGGGAGCGCAGCTCTTGGGGCGCACTCGTCTGTAGCCCCGCAGGGCTAAGAAACTTCAGCCACTTTTTACTCCCCTTTTTTGTGGTCCTTTGCTGGTGTTTCTAAGCCGCTGCCCCCTTCCTTCTCTCGACTTCCCTTTCATTTCTCTGCATCGAATTACCCTCTCCGGCCCACCCCCTATTGTCACGCCTTTCAGAAATGCCCAGGTCCCCGAGGTGGAGATTTAGAAACCAGGGTCGCAGGGGCTTCCCCGCCCCCTATTCTCACGTCGGAAAACACGGGTCAAGTTTCCGCTCGCTTCGGAGCAGAATAAATCACGACCCCAACAGAGGAACTTTACACTTTAAAAGAAAGAAAGCTTCCCACCTGAATCGGAACTTCAGGGAGACCCTTCAGAGCTCGAGGCGATGGTTTTACGGGCCGGGAAACCGGAGGAGCGGGCGGAGCTAAGAGCAGTGACACCCCAGAACTCTAGGGCGGAGGTCTGAGCCGGTAGGGGAAGGTCCCTGGGAAAGGCGAGGAGAGGCTGGAGAGATAATTAAGGGTGCCGGAGCTCCCCGTCTGCCCTCCAGAGACCGATAACCCAGAGGAAAGAGGAACCTGCTCTTCCCTAGAACTCCATTAGACTTGCAAGGAATTTAACTTGGGAGGTCAAAATTTCTAATCTAGAGGATTTGGGACGTGCTTTCTGGATGCTCAGTGGAAAGTAGGGGAGTTTAGGCCGTCCTGGCCTGTCAGAAAAGTATAGACTCTTCCCGTGGCTTCACTCCACGTGAGGGACCCGGTTCCTCTTTGCAGAGTAAGTACCCAGTCTACAGCGGGGACTCCTTTCTAGGCCCGAGGATAGCGGGAGAGGGGTAGTGTCCGTGCCTACTGAGACTGGCATCTGGCAAACTCGCATGGACCGCGGCTTTGTGGCTTGCCAGCTGTGTGACCTTGGGCAGGTTACTTAACTGCTCTGGGCCTCTTCTCAACTCTAAAATGGGCATATTCCTCTCAGAGGAGTTAGAATGTGGATTATGTGAGAGTGTATGAATGCCTAGCACGGTGCTAAGTGGTTAGTTAGTCACTTTGGCCTGCCTTCCACAGGCCACTACTACACATGGAAGAATGGGTGGTTCACTCAAGAGCTTGCACCTAGGAGCCCACAGATCATGAGGGTTGACAGTTACCTGTTATTCACTGCCTGTGTGTTTTGGGAAAGTCAGAAACTCTCTGGTGTGTTTCCACGTCTGGAAAATAGAGCTTATCATGCCCACCTCACAGGGAATCTGTGAGACTTGAATCAGACAATAAATAAGAGAGCCAGACACATGGTAGGGCCTTAGTCAATGTACGTTTTCTTTCTTCTGCCTTTAAGCTGGAGGTTGCCTCCAGGTGTGGCTCTATCAGACATGGGTGACACCTAGAGAACGGCCCCTGGGGTGGAGAATTTTATGTCTGCTTTGTAGAGAGAGAAGGAAACTAAGGTTTGCTCTGTCTGAAGGATGCTTTCACAGGAAGCCTGGGCCACCAACAGCAAGAACGGCATCACGATCTATCTAAGGTTCGGCCTGACCTTCCCAGGGTTTGGGTGGAAATCGAGAGGCAGAGGTGTGGCAGTTGGAGTAGGGATCCCAAATCGTTTCTGGAAAGAAGCATCCAGAGATGACAATCTGTGATGCAGTAGGAGACAGTTAATTGGGGCCCCCTATGGATTTCTTTATACTGTTCTTTCCATAGTCTCATAAATTCCTGGGGGTCTCATGTAACAGGCCTGGTTCTCTTTGCTTAGATTGGAGGTTCTTGGATGGGAGATGAATTTTCAGCCTCAGAGATGGGTCAGAGCCCTAAGTCCTCCACTGTGATAAAACTACCAACACCTGGATTTAAACCCAGACTTATAGTACCCAAAACTTACCCTTTCCCTTCCTCCAGTGCATGAACAGGAGGAGAGATTCTGTTCCTTTTGACTTTCAGATGTGCAATATGATGGCTAATTGCTAGCAGAGGTTACAGTGTCAGTTTGCTTTCTTCCCGCTAGGAGCAAGAATATTCCGTCATTATAGTTTGCACTTTAGAGGTTACCAGTGACAAGCTCTGAGAAGTTGGGCGGACGACGGTAGTAATACTCAGCCTCTCGCTCTCCACTCCTGAGCTGCCTGGAGTCTGGGAGACCCTTCCGAGCCTCTGTGTATGTCTGTTTTTGCCTTTTAGAACCTGTCTACGTTCCCTTCCTGATCGTCGGCTCCATCTTCGTTGCCTTCATCATCCTGGGCTCTTTAGTGGCTATTTATTGCTGTACCTGCTTGAGACCCAAGGAGCCCTCACAGCAGCCAATCCGCTTCTCACTCCGCAGCTATCAGACAGAGACCCTGCCCATGATCTTGACCTCCACGAGCCTCAGGGCGCCTTCCAGGCAGTCCAGCACGGCCACCAGCTCCAGCTCCACCGGGGGCTCCATCCGCAGGTTCTCCTTTGCCAGGGCAGAGCCAGGCTGCCTGGTGCCCTCACCACCCCCGCCTTACACCACAGGCCACCCAATCCACCTGACCCAGCCGTCTGGTTTCCTGGTGTCGCCCCAGTACTTCGCTTACCCACTCCAGCAGGAGCCCCCGCTGCCCGGGAAGAGCTGTCCGGACTTCAGTTCCAGTTGACAGGCCACGGTTATGAGTCCACCATGAAGTACAATGGCAGACAGGTGGAGGGCTGCTGCCATAGCCACAAGCATTTCTGAGGAAATTTCCCTTGAACCCAGCAACATCATGGAGGAAAGTGCTAGAAAATACAGCGCCTTGTAATCTTAAAGTTCTTGGCTCCACAGAATGACTGTTAGGTAATTGCTTTCTGGCTTGGAAAACGGTGACCGTTACATTTCAATTTATGCTACTTTTATTCAAAATATGCAGCTGTTCGACTTTAAAGTTACAAACTGGCTGAAGATGTTTTATTGGACAACTCTGCTATACTGCTTAGAAAAGGGCCACGTGTTCTTTTTTTCATTATAAGTTGTTTAGTGAGTTATAATACAAGTAGATACATAAATAAGCAAAGAAAAATACCTGATTTTCATTATCGAAGGTTCACTTAAAAAATTAACTACTAAGTGAACTGAGGGCACAGTGCACAATGTATTTATGATTTTGGGAGCAACCTAACCATGAATAATATTAGCATCACGAGAACAGGTACTTTTTAAATTAATAACTAAATTTTGTTTAAACTATAAGAGCATTTTCAGAATACGAGATTTCAGCAACCACATGAGGAGTTTAAAATTTTACATATTTACTCAGATGTCCATCGTAACACAGATCTCACGTGAAAGCATTTCCCCATCCACCCGAGGGAATATTTATTGCAGACTTTTGTCCAGCAACATTTAGTGTTTAAATGAAGGTTGGACAGTTCGGTCTTAACATTTATTTGTAAAATGAGTTATGTATAAATGTAAAGATTTGTAATTTAATGTATTTACCACATTGACAGTACTAATTATTTAGTAGTTACACTGTAATTTTTATGTTAATAATAACTGTGGAGTTTAAAAACCAGCTATTGGTTATAAGCATCTAATATTACATATCTTAAGTGCCACTCAATTCCATGTCTGATGACTACATATTTGGGCATATGTGCCGCCGGGTTAGAATAAATAAAATACTTTATGTTTTCGTGACATCTATTTGAAATTTTAGATCACAGTGCTTCATTTTATCTCTTTAATGATACTCTTTGATATTCAATAAAAGGCAATGTCTTTACTTAACGCTTTATATTTTGAAATGAAGACAAAAAAAATCCTACATTGATCTTGAATTACATTAACAAGCTATTTTCTGCATCGGGGCTCATGAAAGCAGCAAAGGAAGTGAATTTTTCTAGACGTATCAGCCTGTGGGCTTCATGCAGACCTCAAATGTGTTATTTGGCCTGCACATATTTAAAAATTGGGATATTTCTCGTAAGAATCTGGATTTCTGGTTTCTCGTGACACTGGGAAGACGCAGCACCGAGGATCTTGTACCACCACGAGGTCAGGCTGGCCCTGTTTAGACAGGACCCTTGCTATTTGCCAGCCTCCTACTGGTCTCCTGCACCTGGCGCATCCCCTCAGTTTCGTTACCTCCCTGGCCCCTGTGGGTGTTGTTTGGGAATCCAGGTTTATATGAATTCATGCTGTCATATGTGACCCTCAATAGCTCTTTTCAAATACAGCCAGTTAGAGGTGCAATTCTGACCTAAGAGAGTGGTTCCGCCCTGCCGAACATTTTCTAGTTGCAGAAACAAGTTTGAGGAAATTGTGCCTGTGCCTGGTCTAATGGCGTAGGGGCTCTGACTTCTAGTCTCCTGCTTTCTCCAGTAACCCCAAGTGGCCTGACTTCCAGGTATCCCAAATTAGCCAAAATAATTAAGGAATGAAAGAAATGGAAGAAAGGAAGGATGGAAAAGAGAAAAGACTGAATGTGAAAGGATAAACCTTTGTGAGCATGCTCTGGAACACAATTTATATCATTAGACTGGTTTTATTCATGTTTGTTAGATACTGCTCCTTTGATGTTTTTAAGTTAATCTTTACTGGGCTCTTATAAGCCAAACACTATTCTAAATATTTACATGCACTAACTCATTATCCTCCAAACCACCCCAACAGGGAGGTATTATAATTCCTATTTTACAGATTTGGAAACTGAGGCACAGGAGTGCAGTAACTTGCCCAAGATCCACAGCTAGACAGTACTGGAGCTGTATGCAAAGACAGATTCAAACAGCAGGGGAACACCCGCTTTGAGGTTTTGCTGCCTCTGTGCACGAAATCCACGGGAGAGTAGAGCAAGGCGGCCAGCCCCTCTCTGTAAGGCAGTGATTCTCAATTCTATTGGACCCAATGAGCTCTCCAGAGCACAAATATGTTGTGCCATCCCTTTAACTGTCCTTAAATGAAATTTATAGATAATATCACTCACTACACATGTAATTAAAAAAAAATCAATACCATGCCCACAGGGTGAATAGATGGGAGAAAGAAAAGGAAAGTAATTTATTTCGAAATGTAACAGCTTGGGCAGACTAAACAAAGGATTCAGACGCGAATCTCTTAAGAATCACCAAGATGTGACAGCTCCAAATCTGGACGGATCAGTTTTGCTAGACTGGCAACTCAAAACACCACAGTTGCACTGTCGCTATTAATGTGATTGTTTCCAAACAGAGCAAAGTTTGATCTTCCTTTGATTTGCATGGTAGTTATATATCTGGAAAACTCAGTGTATAGTAAGGCTGTGCAAAAAATACTTTATCAGTAAAATGGGGATTAGATTTTTCCACTGAAAGGAATGGTGGGACATTCCAAAGCCATGCCGATGGACACCAAGTCTTTGTTGTGCGGACTGTCCCATGTATTGTAGGATCTCTGTTATAACTGAGTCCCATCCAACGGATGTCCAGAGCACACCTGCCCCCATCCCCAAACATTCTGACACCAAAGATGCCCTCCACACAATTCCACAATGTCCTCTAGGGGGCGGAACTGCCTCCATTGAAAATCATCTATTTTGTCTGGTTTTTCTACTGGACTTTTATTTGCCATTCCTTTGGGGAGTGGTTTATATCCATCAGGCAGAATAACGCTAAGAAAGTCAGAAAGCTCATGTCTGCTATCTTCCCTTCCTTAGCAGGATGCTCCAATCAATCAAGTTAACCAGATCTAAATTGTTTAAAATTAGGGAGACATTGTATACCTCATTGTAATATGGCATTCAGTGACACTGAATCGTCATATCCCCACGTACTTGTTGACATATAGTACGTGTCTTTGAACTTCTCTCTGGAAGCTATGTAGCTAATATTATTATTATTTGCAATCACAGGGTAATGAGGCCATCCTGTGGCAGATTTCCAGTTACTGTCCCGTTCAACAAGCATTTGTTGGATACCGCCTGTGGGTCAGGCATGGCTGGGGTTGGGAGTACCAAGATGAATAAAAGGCAGTTCTGATTCAAGGAGCCACTTTCTCCATGGACTCAGGCATGACAGCAAATACTTGTGATAAAATGTTATAGGTGTTTTATAAAAGAAGCACATTATCTTCCCTGCTTTCCAGGAGCTCACAGTCACGTAGGGGTAGATGAACCCATAAATCAACACTCAGAATTCATTCTGGTAACTGCAATGATTGGGGAAGTGCAGAATGCCCTGGCAGCGCATATGAAGGGCACCTAACTCATCCTGGAGGGGGTGAGATTGGGCCTGGGCCTTGAGAGATGAATGAGACCTGAGTGAAGAAGACTGGGTGGGGGAGGGAGAGAGGAGTGCTGGAAACGAGAGGAAGAGCGTATTAGGCAAAGTAAAGAATTCGTAGAAAGGCAGAGAAACACCCATGAGCGTGAAAGAACAAGGAACATTCTGGAAACTAGACAAAGAATTCAGAGAAAGAATGAGAGTAGAGAGATAAGCAGAGTCAGATCAGAGATCTTGAACACCATGGTGGTTGGCTATATACCAAATGCAAGGAGGAGCATTGAAGGATTTGATATAGGAAAGTGACTTGATCACATCTTCATTTTAGAAAGGTTAGACAGCACGAGTCAAATCAAATCACTTGAAGTTTCCCAGAAGATGTTCACCACAACCTGCCACGACACCAAAATACAGTGGAAACTTGTCTGATTAATGCTTTATTTCTTTCACAAAATATTTGAGTCCTAATATTCTGCAACCATGATTATTTTCAAGAACAGAAGTTCCATATTTTGAAGGATAATTATGCAAATAATGGGTAACATTTATTAAGCACCATGTGTATGTCCCAAGTGCTTTATGAATTATATTGTTTAGGCTTCACAACCCTGGATTTGGGACTGTTATCATGCCTGTATTGCAGAAGAAGAAATCAAAGCAGAAAGGTTAAACACTGTGCCCAAGGCCAGACAATAATAGCAGTGCCAAGATTTGAACCCAGGTGTTCTGCTTTGAAACTCTACATTTTTTTATGACACATACCTGAAGGTCTAATTTTCTCAGGAAAAAATATCCAACCTACTTTTCAGAAAATCTGTTGGAGGGAAAAGTGATTGTGTAATATTGTACATATCCTATAGATAGCAGGGGATTGTAACAGTCAATACAGTTTTGCTACATTATGAGAACATAGAATATGAAACAAATAGAAATACTAGAGGAAAAACATCTCTCCCGTCACACACAGAAACTTGAGAGACCAGAAAGTGACTTAGCACAGATTTTGGAGTCAATGTCTAGGTTAGTTTTCTGGCTCTGTCACTTATAAGCTGAGTGACTTTGGGCCACTTAACTTCACTGTGTCTCCGTTTTCTCATTTGTAAAATGGAGATGTTAATGGCACCTTATGGCTTAGGGTTGTCTTGAGAAATAAGAAGTTAAGAGTCACTGTCTCAAATCACTTGCATTCTAGTGGGGTGGGAGTATGTAGTAAGCTAATGATAAACAACAGAAAGCAGATGAAATACCCTAGAATAAAAATGAAAGGCTAAGTACTGTGGGAGGGCAGATGTAACTGCTGATTGGAGGGCAGGGAATGGAGAAAATGGCCCGACGGTTTGATAGTGTTAGCCCGAGAAAATCCATGGCCTCCTTTGATACCTGGCCAACTTCCGTATTGCCTGGGGTCGAGTACCCACCCACCCTGTTTGGTACTCATGGCCTGTAAGTTTATTTTACCATTTTCTTTGGAAAAACATATTTAATAAATTTGTTTTAAAATGGTTATTTCCTTCCAAAGCCAACAGATTGTACTTTTAATTGTCCAAATGGATAGATTTATTTTCCCTTTTTACTCTTTATTGGTGTTATTATTAGCTACTTCTTATGGTGGAGAATTTGCCAGATTGACTTAAATCCATAGGAAATTTTCTCTCTAAAATGAGATAACCAAAAAGTTTCTTGAAGGTATTACAATCACCTTAGGAATTTGATATATTTCACTGGGCCAGGATCAGTTTACTTAGGCATAACCTCAAATGTTTATTTAGTATATGTTCAGGAAAAGTAAGAATTTCCGGGCACGTTGAACTATTAAGGGAACAAACTTAACTATTTTTATATGTACCTGGCTATTTTAAAAAGACAAACATTAGTTATTAGTGAAATTATTCTGACAGAGAATTCTTATTTGAATTGCTAGTTACATAGTTTGTACTTGAAATAAACTGAATGGTAAAAATATATTTCATATTTTCCAACAATTTTTATTAGTCTACTAGTGAAATTATCCAGGTTAGTAAGATCTTTCTTTGTTAAAATGAGTGGATGTGTGTTACCGAAATGGAAGCTTTAAGTTAGAGAAACCAGAAGCATACAAAAACAATGGGGATGACGTATTGAATTTATGGGAATGTATTTCAAGTATGCTGTTTCCTTATGGTCATGTTAGAAGCCATCTAAAACTACAGGGTCAGTTATAAACAGTGTTTATTTTAAGGGGATTGGAGTTGAATGTGAAAATCATTTGATATAATTCACAGGTAACTTTTCTGTACATCGTTCTGCCGTGGTTTGGCTTGGAGAACCCACACCAACCGTTGTCCCCGGGAAGACTGGGAAAGATCACAGGGCCCCGAGGGCTAAGCACATGCTGCCTCATTCTAATAAAACCAGGGGCTCCTCAGACTGCTTCCTCAGTGCCCCTCGGTGAACGAGTCCTATTCTAGCAGTTTCCCAGATGGCAGTGTCAGTTTTTTCTTTTTAACCCAATGATGCTTATTTTTGATAAAGCTCTTGTTCTCATTTCCCATGTTTCCTATACTTTTGTCTCACGTGGCAATTTTGATATTTTCTGGTTACTTTCTGCAAATGTTATTGGCTCGACTTGGCCACTTTCTCATGAACTTAAAAAAACATGGTGGGTTTAGAAAACTTAAGAAATTCATCCTATGTGAAAGGATGGAGCCATGAATTAGCTGTTAACTTGCAGGCTGATTTAAACATGTAATTGGGGGAGGGGGAGTGGCGGCCTGTTGGCATAGTGCTTAAGTTCTCGCACTCCGCTGCAGCGGCCTGGGGTTCGCAGGTTCAAATCCCAGGCATGGACATATGCATTTTTCATCAAGCCATGCTGTGGCAGGCGTCCCACATATAAAATAGAAGAAGATGGGCACAGATGTTTGCTCAGGGCTAATTTTCCTCAGCAAAAAGAGGAGGATTGGCAACAGATGTTAGCTCAGAGCCAATCTTCCTCACCAAAAGAAAAAAAACCCAAAAACCCTAAATATGTAATCGGACAATCCTGGGAGGCATTTCTGACTGAAGAATCAAAATACAGTAATTTTATTAAAAAAATTTTTTTGATAGTTATCAAAACTACTCTTATCAAATTAGAGTTTAAACACTCCACTTAATGTTTCATTCACCTGGATTAAAATGAAGGAATATTTTGTATATCACTGGGGTTGTAAACAAAATATGTTAAAACATTATTAAATGGATACACCTCACACTATAGTTACTGTGGATTTGAAGGTTTTATAAAGCAATATAATTTCTAAAATTAGCAAAACTTCAACAATTTTCTTTATGTAATGGTAAAGTTTATTTCATTTTTAATAACAATTAGAGGATAAAATGTTTAAAATTTGCAGTTTAAAACATGCACATTCACAAAAGGTCAATGACAGGTAACACTGCATAGAATTGAATATCACTCAACTTTAATAATTATTTATAAAACACAGTGCATCGAACATTGAGATCAACAAACCTGAGTAAACTACTACAATCACAGATTCAACATTCTCCACTCATGCAGCTTCACAATTTCTACAGCAGTTTCAGCAGGAATGGTTTCTTATGGAGCTGAAAATACTATTTTGTCTTTAATGCAAACTGCAATTTTCCATAGTAGCTGCCTTCCAAGGCTGCCTTTTTTTTTTTAACCTAATAAACTTCAAAATGTGAAAAATGAAGCTTGAAGTAGTAAAACAGACAACAAACAGTATTTACTGCATCTATGGCTTCTATTCTACAACTATGAAACATAAAAATATTATTTTTTTAATATTCTGCTCACATCTTTGCAAGAGCAGATTTACCTATGGAAAGTTGCTGTTAATTCAAAGTAAGCAAGTATGAAATCTAGCTTTTTCCTACTTACAAGAGATTTATTTGCTGAGAAGTTTCGTGAGCTTTATTAAGAAAAGTTCTTAGAGGCAAGTTAAACAAAAGTTTCAATTAAATTTGTTCAAATTTGTTTGTAAAATAATGTACTTATTTAAAAAAGTTGTGCAGAAGACCAACTAATTTGTCCACTGAATATTAAATTCCAGGTAGGCCATGATAGAATGTTATAAGACAGAAATAAACATCAAGATTTACAGCAATAGCCATGCATTGGCCTAGACCACTTTAAATATTAATTCATGCAAACCATAAACCTATCAAAAACACAGCTGCTCTCATACAGAAAATAAATCAAGACGAAAAATGGAAAACATTTATTTCCTTTTCTTCAAAATTTAACTTACATTCCATTTTAATAGCTGTTGAAGGTTAATTAAAAGGCAGCAAAGTATAAGTTTTGCAAGTGACTTCAGTTATTTTAATGTGAGAAAAATCAGACTGTGGTCTCTTTAAGAGACATTATGGAAATGTTCACCATTAAAAAGCATTTATTAGGCACCAGACTGCATGGTGTTACATTAAGTAATTTACAAAAAGAATTCCATAGGCCTGGTCCATACGATGTGAATGGGGTGGGCATTTTCTTGACAAATTTTGTACATAAGATTATAGATTTATTTGATAAGTTCTAAAATCAGGAACTATCCAATGGCAGCTGCACAAAAATAAACGTTAGTGATAATTTAGCTTTGTGTTAATGATGACATTGTTATAATTTAAAAACTATGTATATACACTCTATTACTTTCAGACTAGCATTCACTTCCTGAAAGCATATTTTAAATGACAAATTATAAGTGATGTACAGTGCACACAATGCAGAACAAATTAACATATGACTTTCATATTGGATATTTAGAATGCTGAACTGCAAAATTAAAATGTAAAATGTAATGATCAGAATACATGTTGATTTTTTGAATTCACTTTTTCCCCTGGAAATTAAGAGGAATCACTGATTCCATTTAATGACCATACAATTCATGTAAATGGCTAATATTATTGAGCAGAACACATGCTCACCTGACTTGATTGGAAAAAGTTTTCCATTAACTCTGCAACATTGCTGAAGCAGGCTCACATCAGACAGAGTGGGGTGTGGAAGGGTGGGCAACACACATCATTTTAAATTTACTACATTCCTGAGAAACACCATCTTCCTGCTAATAATTTCTATCATATAGCATCTTTCTGGGTGTGAGACACCAATATATTTTTATTTGTATATATAAAACATTTAGAAAGTTCATGCTTAATATCACTGTGTACTATTCAACATTAAAGAAGCAACTCCCAGCTTTTCAATGGGAAATGAATGAGGATTTTCTGCTGTAAGTAGTATTTTCTGAATTGTAAACATTGTAAAGCAATGGTGTTAGCATCTGCCCGAGTCCCTACAAGGGACTTTTTAATTGAAGAGTACCTGTCCTTTATTTCAGAAAATATACGTTAAAAGTCACTTCAACTATTTATTTTAATCCTGGTAAAACTGTGTCACGTTTTCCCCCCTTAGGAAGGTTAAAAAATCAGAGGGTTTTCTCTAACTTAACACTATAAAGTCACTGCAATTGCAATGTTATATTTTAAGTTTTACCAAGGAGGCCACTCCCTGCTGTCCACTCTCTACTCCCAACCAAGAGGCAAAGACATGGACTTCGTATTGATAATTCAAAAATAGGACCATGGGACAAAAGGGCATAATGAATCACATTTCAGATCATGATCTTGTATGTTAACTTATTAACCATGAGTATTCTACTCATGTTGAAGAGCTCCACAGAAACAATCCATGTTTCAAGATAAAAATAAAACTTTTAGTTTTCTTAAGTCAGAAAATTCCATTCTGTTATATTCATCACATTTTGATATTAAAATTTTGGAGAAGGATGCCACTGATGAGGGGAGGGCAAATGGAAGCAGCTCTTCTCTGTAACTGCTATAAAGGGTTTCTCTGGAGGGATGCACTTCATTGCTTTTTGATTCTTGTGGTTTGACCTCAACTATCACCATTAGGAGGCGCAGAAAAGCCGCTCTGAATATCCATTCGGTAGACAGTTAAAGTCTGTGACTTCACAATTCTGAAGATGATCTTAGCCTCTTACACCTGTGATCTTGCTGGAGGTTTTGATTCATGATTCTCTTGATCTGAGTCCCAAATGGGAAGGCTCTGGGAAGTGAAGTATGTCAACTCCTTGCCCCCTTTAGCTTAGAATTATGTATGTGTTATAACTTTTCTTATTTGTAGAAAACATGGGAGGCATACCTGTAACTAAATAGCTACAAATGCAGAGAAGGAAATGATAAATAGCCCAATTTTAGATCTAGATTGGGAAAAAGGGTGAAGAGAATGTGAAATTATTAAACTCAAGGAGTGATTTGGAAAATCACCTCTCTTCTCAATTCTAGTCGACTTTTTTATTTTAAGAGGAAGTTCTACCTATTTTGCTGGTAAGTCCACTTAAAGGCAAACAGGCTTTTGAATAAAAGGCAAAAAGTTTGCTTCAATCTCTGAAGTGTATCTGAAAACTAGAATTCCTTTTATTTTTTCTAAATGACAGTATTATTTTAAAAATAGTGTAGAAAACTGGTTGTGGTTTTTAAACAGCCCCTTCATATATCTTGGTAGCAAAATAGGCATTTTCAGGAGATGTCTTGGAAACGCTGAAAATAAGTAAACTGAATGTACATTTTAAAATATATTAATGAAACCAACTTATGATGAAAAGTGTTCTTTCGCTGTCAAATTACAGGCTTGAGTAAAATAGGTGTTTTTAAAATGGGGAAAATGTACTACTTCTTTGTCCCAATTAGCAGCGTGTGACTTAATCTTGGGAGCTGCTTGACAAGTGAACTGTAAAGTAATTCTCAGTCTTAAGTACAGGGGCAGTCACCAGAACATCAGATTGCTATATAAGACAGCAGGCAGCTCCAGTGGCAATTAATAGGGAGACCCAATACAGAGGACAAAAGCCGAGACTACGTATGTTACAAAAGCCCATGCGTTTATCCGGCATGGTATTCCAAACATCTTGACAGAAGCACTGGAAATCTCACATAAATACGTAAGCATACTTTTGAGAGAGAAAACTTTAAGACAAAATGACATCACTCAGTCTACAGCAGCAGCCAGCTTTTTAGAAGAATCTAAACGATGATGAAACCTCATCAGAAGTGACTGAGACATAAATACAGGTTTAAAAATCAGTATTGTAGCGACAGAGTCACATTATCACATGTGCCTTATAACTTCAACAAATAAACAAGACAAACCAGAAATAAGCATTTGTAAGGCCAAAGGTGCAACATGACAGATTTTAGTAGCAAATGCCTTGAAATACTCATTTTTGTAAATCACTCTTACATTTGAAAAGTCAAGCATGCAGATCTTACAGCAGAACTAGAAGTAAACCTTCTCTTAAATTTCTAGGCAAATGACTACTGAATGAGAAATACATTTATTGAACTTCTTTGGCAAACATTTATCGAGACAGTTTTTGACACAAACACTTATGTCTTGTTTAGAAATTTGCTCAGTAAGGTGAGTCAGTTCCTTAAGAATGCTGGTTTTTTTCAGCATATTCTGAAATCTAAGTCTGGATATCAAGAGTCTCTTTAACTTATTACCATTTTAGAGTCTTTTAAATGGTGGGTCGCCTTGTGGTATGTCCAATAAATTGATAGTCAGGTACAGCCCCAGAGTAACAGCACAATACTGACCTATTCTCAGTTTAAGAAAGTGCTCTGGCAAGATACAAGATCATTTTCAATTCTTGTTTACAAAGACTTAGCAAATACTTTAAAAAATCTGAAAGAGATGGTGTTACAGTATAGTTGCACAGTGCTTCTGTCTATAATACACATGAATCTGAATGTCAATCAACGAGACGAGCTCAGATCCACCTTTCCCCTCCTTGGACCAGACTGGAGTTGGTCAGCAGATTCCGGTGCAGACCTGGGAGCTCTCCTTAGAGACACAGCAGAGCCTGCCTCGCAGCTCCTCCCCATCACCATTCATCGGGTCTCTGCTTTGTGGTGTCATATGCTCTAACCACTTCAGACTGTGAGACGATTCCATTTTCATCTTGAGAGAAAGCATACCCGTCTGTAAGTGAAAGATAAAATAGAAATGGTCATCATGAAGTCACTGGAAATCTCTGTTATTCTGAGTTTTAAGTGCTCATTTTCTAACTTGGGAAACTAATGCATCTCTCCCACCTTCAAAAGTATGCAGACATTAATTTTTAATGTCTGGAAAAGAAACAGACTCAACTGCAAACTGAAGAGTGGGCTGACTATAAGTTGCCAGCTTCGATTTTATGAGTTCTGCTTCTAGGTAAATGAGTAGGTGCTCTCAATCCTCCTCAATTCTCCATTCAGCATCTCAAGTCCAACCCATCTAATTTTTGCCTCCAGATTACTAGAGAGGGTGGGGGAGTCAGTCAAGTGGGTACATGTATTTCCAGACAGATACGGCGGAGGAGCAGGAAGGGAGAATCAAAGCGAGGAGGAGGAGGAGATGGAGATAAACACAGATAACCGGGAATGGTGGGAAAGTGATCTCTCTCCCTCAGATGACATTCTCCTTGGCTCCCAGCATCTACAAATAAACTCCCTAGTGCCCCAGCATGGCTGGAGGGGGCGTGGGGATAAGAAATGGCCCCCAAAGGGATCACATCTTTAGAAACAGCCTCTTGAAGTATAAAGACCAAAAGCATTAAACATGAGCATATATAAATGAAAATAAATTATATGGGGAAACAACATGAAACAAAAGATATATTACTAACACAAATACATCTACCACAGGGCTTTATATATTATATTCTTTTTAGATCCTTGAAATGTTAAGAGGGCGTGATACCTAATAATTTCTTACAACTCTAAACATTCATAAATATTTTTGAAGGGGAGAATATATGTTTCACTGTGCTGTATGAAAGCTGAAAAGGCTCTTGCAAAGTTATTTAAGTAGAAAAGATAACAATACAGAGGCAGCTTTTAAGAGTTAAGATTTATTTTACTTGTTCTTTTTAAGATTTAAGGAAGCCAGGGGCATGTGGAGATATTATTTTCCTTTAAGTGAGAGCAGCAAGATTTTAAAATGCTCTCTTTCTTCTGCTGAAAGTGAGATGGTTGTGCGCAAAGGATTCTCTAAACACTTGTTATTTACATAACATGTTGCAAATATGCAAAACTTGTTTTAGGTGTTAATTTTAAATAGTTAAATATCCTTAAAGTCAAAATACTGCTCTCTTGAATGCTATGAAATAATGGCAGAGAATTTTTTAAAAAAGAAGAACTCAAATACTTACGGAGGTTATGTTGCAATGATTCGGACTGGTACAAATTCACGTGGTTCTTCTTAAAGACGTTCTTGAGCAGTTGCGCCCTCTCTGTGAGGCTGCAGAGCAGGTGCAAATGTGTGAAATGAATTATCAACTCGGCAGAGACCCCAGTGTGCCCAAGGGCCACCAGACAGAGTTAGACTTAAACAAAAGATTGCTTGAGAAATCTGTAGTCTAGTGATTTTTTTTTACCCCATTTTCTCAGCAAATGAGATTTCAAGCATTTAGATAGATACTTTTGAGGCCATTTTTTTCCATAGCTAAGGAGAGTTCTGTCTCCAATAATCCAGTCAAAAGATTTATCTGCCTCCCAGTTATATTTAAGTCAAATGGAGATATAGAACCTGCACAATACAATTAATAAAAAATACACAGTCTCCCAGTAGTTTATTAGCTTCTAAAATCTTGGTTGATTCACTACTTGGTTGAATTACTTACATATTCTAAGCACATATTTTTAGAGTTAAAAAAATTATTACTTATATCTTTTTCCCACTTTGCACATATTTTGGTGCACAATATTTTTTTAGTTATGTAAAGAAATCCTAAAAATTACGAAAAGAAATTTCATAAACTTTTTAATTAGAAAAATTCTACTACTACTCTGACATACTATGAAATGTATTCCTTAACTTCATTTTAAAATAAAAAAAAACTTTTCAGAAAGTAATTATACTCAGAAATATAAGAGGTAAAACGACACAGAAAAATATTTATTTTTCAATGAATGTTTAGAATATCTTCTCCAAGGAAACAAATCCATATAATTATGTAACTTCTAAAAGCACACTGCAAGAAATAATGCATCTGTTTTTTTCCCCACTGCACACAGAACAAAGTATTTGCTGAATAAATGAATTTGAGTAATAACTCTGAAATGTACTTTTAAACACCATCAATCCTTTCAATCATGCTATTTCTGCACTGGTTGATTTATAAAACTTTGCTTTGATATCAAAGAACATAATAAGTATGAAGAGCTAATAAGCAACCCACATGCATTGCAGCAAATGTTTATGTAATTTTGTTTTAATCACTGGAACTGACTCAGTTGAAAAATTTCCATCTTGTATTTTCCCCACTATAAAAACTTTAGTTAAACTGCTGTAAGTTATGTTAGTTCCATATTTTGCCAAATTTTTTGAGACACTGAAATGGAACAATTTTTATCATATACCCAAAAAAAGGATCCTCTGCAAAATGAACTCGTAATTATACAAACATTTCGGCTCTTGCTGAAGTAAAATATTTAGAAATGTTGACATTTGTAGTAATCTTCCACACATATTTTTTTAAAGTTTAGGGATGTTAACTGGTACTTATTAGACATACTTTATTGTCACTGGGAATTAGCTACATTAAGGCAAGAAAGCTAATTAATTTAAAACTCCAGCGGTTTTGCAAATACTTGTAAAACTTGTTTTGGCCAGTGAAATAAACAGATTTTGGGAATGAGAAAGGGCCATTTTTACAGTCACTTTTCTTACTCTACTCTTAAAATGATCCAACATTACAGACCCCGGGACCCTGAGGAACACTAACATATGTAACTGCTTTGAGGAAGTCGGCAGCTTTAGCAGCAGGTGGTCTGATTTTGTTAGCAGAGCACTGTGGATGGGGCGCTGAGAAGTCTTGGGTGTTCAACACTGAAATGACTACAAGACTAGAGGATGACAACGTATCATTATGTAGCTTCTTCTTCCCAAAATACATTTTCCTGGTTTCAGGCTGGCCTTCCTAAATGCATAATCCTTTAATATTACAACATTAAAGTGTTAAGGCAGATGTGAGAATTTCATCTTTCATATTATGGCAACTTAAATATATAAGATAATGTAATTTTGTTTTATAATGGTTCATATAAGGCTATACTTTCACTCAGCTATTACATCAAGTTAATGTCTAGTGTACTCATCACACACGCAAAAGCAATAAGACAGTCTCTTTCTTTGGAAAGGAGCACACTACTGTGCAAAGAGCATGGGCTTTGCAGTCTTACTTTGGTTTAATTCTGAGTCTGTTACTTATCAGCAGCGGGGTCACCTCAGGCGAACCTTCCTTGGTCATCTCATGTATAACAGGAGGACAATCCCCAACCCTCAGGCTGACTGTGGGGATGCAGGGAGTTGGATGTCTTCCAGCACAGTGACTGGCACTCAGGCAGCACTCAATAAATGCTGTCCCTCCCATCCTTACCAACCCCCAGATCCCAAGGATTTATTATAAAAAATCAACTAGAACAGAGATTATCACAAAACAAAAGATACTTATCGAGGATCATTTCTGATGCCTTGGTTTAGATTCAACATTCGCTCAACACGAGGTGTCTGTTGCTGCACAGGAGTTTTAATTTATAATGACCCCACTCCACTTCCTTAGCAGGAAAACATCTAGGCTTTTGTTGTTGGAATTTTTTTTTGTCTTAGCTATACTGAACCTCTTGCTTTAGTTCTTGCAGAGCAAAGAATCTCTCCTATAGAATACAAATGCCATTCATAGGAGGATGCTTAATAAATAATGAGTAATGATGATTTGTATTTCTCTAGTCTTATCCTACCTTTAGGGTACTGCTCATCATTTCAAAATTATGTAATTCTGTGCCATCGACGTTTATGGGTACTGATATTACTATCAAGTCACATTATAAAATACACTGGTCACGTATTAACACCAATAGATAACGTTAAAACTTCAGTTTTTGTTGAACAGCTTAACACAGTATGAGAAGGGAAAAAAAGACTCTAAGATACCTTCTAACTAAAACCACATCCTATTCACAACTCTTGGTCAGTAGTTTTACTCAATTTGTATGGTCTTTCATTTACATACCAAGCTATGCAAATTCTGGATTTATTTAGTGCAATCACACAACTATCACTTAAATATTGTTACCTTATTTCCAAGCCCACTAAAATGTTGCAACTTAGATATTTGGTGGAGAGGAGGTGGAAAGACACCATGTTTTAAAATGAGATTTCATTTAGAAACACCAAAAAAAGTATAGACAAAAACCCATTAACGTCCTGGAACATGTCATCCTAAGGTGTTTTCAATAATCTTTGATGAGTGGTAAATTTGCATTTGTCTTATATTGGGTTGCCAAGTTATTTTGGTTGACTCATTAAAATGGATCTCCAGAAAGTAAATAACCATTCATTCATAGAATGTTTTAGTGTATAGCATGTGACAGCTGTCCTGTACCAGATGGTGGTGGTGGGAGATAAACAATGACTATAACAGGCTTACTCTCTGCTCTGGAGGAGATAACACCTCGTTGTTGTTGTTCTGTCACTTTTCTCTACAAATGCTGGATAGAACCATTATAACTGTGATAAGAGTGGGCTGGGGGAAAATATTTGATACATCCTCCTATTCTAAACCCCTACTAAGATATTTGTGTAATACTGATCCAAAATCCAGTGTGAAAATTGAGAAATATAGTTTCTTTTCTATTAGTTCTGTGGCAACATTAAAATAGCTTTTTATTAAGATAAACAATTCAGAAAATGGCTGTGGGAGAGACCATCATCACTGGCCACATGACCAAATTAGCTGACATCCATACTTTTCTACTCTCTTCATTAAAGCTAAGGTTAGGGGCCAAACAATGGTAATGGACAAATAAACAAGCACTGACCTGAGGATCCTGGGCTAAAATTCTATTTAGTAATGACTGCTGATGATATGCTGGCTAATGTCTACAGTTAGATATAAAACAATTTATTAATCTCATTATTGTATTTGCCTGTCTATAAGATGCACTGCTTCTCAAACACACACGAAAGATATCCAAAAAGAACTGCCCTGTTTCCAATGAGCCCACTGTCCGTAATCCCTTATTTTAAAACCTTTGGGGTTTTGAATTCACTTGTTTTGTTTTGTTTTAGAGAAGGTAAAATGTTATACACAACTTATAGACGTAACATCCCCCAGTGGGATTTGAGAGGCTCATATTCCAAAAAATTAGTGTTTCTGCTATAAAATGTATAAATATTTACATTGTAGAAAAAATAAACGCTATTAATGCCCTTATATTTATAGAACAAATGATTTAGTTTTTTTTTCAGCAAATGTTTCCTATCAACCTATGGAAAAAAATTGATTTCAAAGTTTTTGGATTTTGGAATTGTAGATGCTTATGCTCCCTAGTGTTGGAGCCTGTCCACATAAAAGTTCCAGCAAAGAACAGGGTTTCTTAGCTTATAAGTCTTTTTCTTAAAAATAATAAGCCATGGCTACACAGTGATCAGGAGTAAGGTTTGGACTTATTCTCCCAACATTTTAGACTTAAATTGCTTTCTATCATAACCCATGGCTTGAAAACAAAATACTGAGACGATAAAACACACCTCTCTCCCCAAAATTTCAATGTAAAATTGGAATATATCTAATTTGCTGGATAATATTATAAGTGGCATACTCTTTCTACTAAAAAAGACTAATTATTTTAACCAAGATGTTTTAATTTTTAAAAATGAGTAATGAAATTAATACTGATCTGGATACAGTGCTTACAAGTTATAGTTTCTCTGACACAGTTTCATTTTATGTGTAGCTTGACTTCATAGAGGTGCTTAGTGAAGATTAAAAAAAATTGGGGCTGATCAACTCACAAGATGGCATCATTCTATGACAAAAAAGTAAACTATTGTTACTTTGGATATTACTAGTTTGGGAAGTCTAACCTGTATAATTCTATGCTCTTATGTATCATATTTTTATTTAACTACCCACAGGTCAATCATCCATTTACTACCTGCTACTCAGCTATCCTTTCACCCACCCACCCATTCTTTCATTCATTCATTTATTCCTTAGTTCATTCTCTTGACCATTTGATCATCCATTCAACAAATATTTATCAAATGCTACTATGTTCCTGGCACTGTGCTAGGTGTTGGGTTGCAGTTAAGACTAAGACAGAGGCCTCTCCTTCAAGGAGCTCAATCTAGTAGGGGAAACAAACAGGGTAAACAAGTACATTGTAATACAATGCAATATATGTCACAACAAGTATCAAGTACAGAGATAGCAGAAATTAATTTTATCTGTGAAAGTTGACGTAATTGCATCTGAACTAGGTTTGAAAGCTAGGAACTAGACAGCCCAGTCTGTAAGAGGATATCAGCTTCTACACAAGGGAACAGCCTGTGCAAAGCCTGGGAGGCATAAAACAACATGGCGTTTTGGGACTAAAGGAGGTCTGATATCGCTAGAATACACAGAAATCATAATTTCTCCCACTTTGAAAATGTAGATAAAATTAGTTGACTTTTTTGAAATCTGACATCAATCTCATTTTCCAAGAGTCCTAAAATCATCCTGGCACTAAAATCACTCTGATAATTCCTTAGTTAATTTAGAACGTAATTAGTTTAGCATGAAGACTTTTTCAACCAGTTGCTATCTTTCTCCTTCCACTGATCCTTTTTCTTCCCACGTCCTCCAGCTATCATCTCACAGGAAGACACTATGGTTATGTTGACCATCACCATCCTTCTGACCACTGACGGGCAGTAACGGCAACACGGGGTACGTGTTGTACCAGGGGTTTTTGTCCATAGTATTTAGCTAACAGCTAACTCATTCCTGAGTTCTTGAGAAAAGATGAATAGCTATTTTAGGCAAATGAGCTGGGTAGCAGCAGGAAATTTATCTGATGCATGTTCCACGGAGAAGTTGGTGGTCATTTATGGTGGAACGTATGTTTTATTAACATACTTACAAATATGAGAAATTTACTCCTAAGAGTAGTAACAGTATTATCAGTGGCCTTTCCCTAATAATTGTTAATAAATGGTTTTATTCACAATTTTGTGAGCTAGAACTCTTATTACATCCTTTTTACAACAAAGTGAAAGAGAAAACATTTACTGAGGGACTATTTATGCCAGGCTATGGAGTAGATGTAGATTTTTAGATGCAGGGACAGAGATGAAGGGGAATGTGGAGGGTGGAGGATAAGACCCATAACCCTGCGAGTAGGTATCATCATTCCCATCACACACACAGGGACACGGACTCACAGAGGGTAAGGCCTTTGTCAAGTTAGTGGCAGGCTGTTTTTGCTGCTATATCACATTCCTGAAAAGCAGCAAAAGGAGGTAGAATAGTGAGTGGTTAGAGGCAGGGGCTCTAGAATCAACTGATGTGGGCTCAAGGCCCCACTCTGTTGCTTACGACTTGGAGAACTTAGTCTCTCTAAGGCCCGGTTTCCTCATCTGAGAAAAATGGGGATGATTGATTTGTATTGGGTTGTTATAGGGACTCAGTGAGATAGCACGTGTGAAGTGGTAAGTGCAGCACCCAGCACGTCATGAGCACCCCACAAGTGCCAGTGCTATTATTTTTAAAGGAGAGGCATAGACGGGTGTGTGACGTGTTCCTTTGGCCTAATGAGAGTCAGTGAGGGCTGGAAGCCAAGGTCTTAGCTTGAGTTCCCAGTCTGACATGTACTCCATTGTGTCAAACTGAGTAACAACAGTGAATCACAATGCAGGTGACACATATGGGGGCAGAATGTTTCCTATGGTTCAGACAAAACTTGAGCTCATTTTAGTGTGATGAAAGAGAAAAAATAAAACATATCCCTGGTATTCATAATTGTGTTTTATTACAGACTGCTTTCAAATAATTTTAATTTCTTTTTTATAAAGCTTTGTAAATTTAGTAAATTTGATTAGCTTTCTAACCTTGGTTTTTTGGGGGTGATGGTGGTAAGGAAAAGGACTTAGAAGCCACAACTCACTTCATATATGATATACGGCTAGGTCAGTTCCTAATAACGTACTGAACCACAGTGCAACTGGAGGGCAGTATGCCCTATGCCAAGCTCTGATTTTCATTACATAGTATTTTTATCATGGATACTGTTTCAAGCTAAAAATCTTTTGTTCATCCCCCTTTCAGTTTAAGAACACAATAATATTGGTAACTATCAATAAACCATTTATTTAATGCTCATTAAGCACCAGGCACTAAGCTACCTGCTTGATCGATAGTATTTTATTCAGTTCTCAAAACTAGCCATGAGGTAGGTATTATCAACCCCATTTTATAGATGAGGAAATTGAGGCTCAGGAGCATTAAGTAACTTAGCTAAGGTCACACACACAGCTTAGTGAATGACAGATCTGATTTGAACCCACATCTCTGATATCAAAATCTGCCAATGACACTGCTAGCTCCATGTTAACCAATAAATGCTTACCGCTTATTTCTAACCACAAGTAAAAGATAAATTTAAAGTTCACTTGGAAAAGAACATATTCAGTGTGTATTTTACCTTTTTCCAAGCACAACTGCCCCTGGGTCTTGAGATTTTGCCTCCAGTTCCTGAACTTCATCTACTAATGTTTTAAAAGCCGTCCTCTTGATACTGCAAAGAAAGGATTTGCATAGAAATATTTGCGTGTAGACTTAAGACTTTACAAGACTGGTTTATCATCACGCTGCTGCTAAGTATAACAATAACCAGAGTACAAGCAACAGTTTCTCAATAGAATCTAAAAAACTACAGTAATTTTGAGTATTAATATAATTATAGAAACGGCAGTCTTAAAATAAATGATTTAGGTTTATAATATTAAAACTCTCAGTTATTTGATAAACATTATATAATTAATGTTGATCTTTTTTGTGGGAAGAGATAGCATTTTAAAACTCATAATCTTTGAGAAAAATTAGTAAAATTTTAGTTTCTATATTTCCATTCTGTATTTTAAATATATATTTAGATTCAGGCAAGCAAAAAACTTCTTTTCACAACTATTGTTCACTAATAAAAAATATATGTGCGTCTGGAGATGAAAGAATTTTTTTCTTTTACCTTGAAGGGGTTTTGCAGGCTGATTTCTAAAAATGTACTCTCTAATGTTAATTGAAACTACCTACTTTACTTCTCGCTTGGTCTTTTAAACTAATTTAGTTTTCTAGTTTCTCAATCACTCCTTTCTTCTTTATTTACGTAGAATTAATTAATATTACTAATTCCTATTCTGCAAACTACATTCTTGAGTTGATATTACAACTAGAGAAATCTGAGGATTAACATGCATCTATATTTTTAGTATATAATCGGGTATTATACTTACACCTTGTACGCCACATCAAGAAGCAAAGATGTCACAGGGATAAATAACAGGCCCATCCAAAAGACTCCGGAACTAAACAACATGGCTGCCTGAGGAAACCATCAGAAACAATATTACTTTAAAAACCAAGAAATACATCATTCATGTTTATTTTTTATATGATTTTAAGAATCTCATTCTGCAAGAGAATATATAATAACTCTGAATTTAAACTTGTGAAATATTTGGAATTAAAAGCCAAATGTGTTAAAACATGCATTTACTGTATCTATTTTTTCCCTCAAGTAGCTAATATAGCAAAGTTTTATCATGTACCAAATCTTTTTCATATTTTTATGCGACATTTTTATTACTGTGGTCAATACATGGAGTAAAAAACTTTGACCTTCCTTTATAACTTAGAATATCAAAATCAATCTTTTTGAGCAAACTTCAAACATATTCTGGATGAAATTTGCTTATAATACAACATGTAAAATAAATCCTAGTTAGAAACTGAATTTACTATTTCTGACAGATGAAAATTAACTTTACTTTTGTAAAACATTACACCATATTTAAAAATCATCTAGATAAATCATAAACACAATATAAACAAATCAAGACATCTATGAAAATAACAATTTGATTATTTTTGGCTGATATTAGGTAGGAAAAATCTTAATTTTTGTTCAAAGATTTACATAACTTGAATCAATGCATCCCGTTATTGCTAAAGTCAAACCAAATATCTAGTATGTAAAACCCAAACAAAAGTGTCTTAAAAGTAACTGTAATCATTCCGTTGTATTAAATCCCAAATTGCTACATCAGAGCCTTTGGGTTGCAAAGAAAATTATTCTATGATTAAACAATTAATAAATTTTATTAGCTATTTGAAATTATAATAAAAAAAATCCTCTTGTAATGTAATCAGATTACAGAGCTTAAAAGGAATAGTGGCACACAATAAAACCAAAAGAAACATTTTATTTTACTTCTTTGAGTCTATCACGAGTAAATTTCCAGTTACCTATTTAAATCCATAAATGTACTGTTATAACTCTATTAAAAGGCAGCCAATAAGCACATTCACATTTATACTCTACTAAAAATCTCACAAGAAAATTTTTTTTACTAGGTGTGATTCAGGAATTAAAAATGATCTAGAGTTTAATTCTTATAGGCAATTTCACAATTACACATAACAGTCCTAATCAATCCTTATCAAGTCTAAATATTACTAATTTTAAATTATGTTTCAGATTACCTATTCATTTTGACTCTAAACTGAAGACCAGGAACTGCTGTTTAAATTTTTTATACGTTGCCATGGGCTTATTGATACAGCCTGTCGGGTCAAGGATGCTAAGGTTTTTCCTTGTGTAGGATTAAACAGCTCTGACCACGTTTAAAATATCAACACGCTATTACCAAAAATTTCAGAAAATAAAGGTTGCCACGTGGATTCAATAGAATAGCACTCATATTTAAGGCACCAACAAGAAGAAAAATATTCACATAAAAGTCACTTTATTTTATAAGCAAAACATGATCTTCGACATGTTTGCTGACATCCTCAATAGTGAAAACCAACAATAATTACATAATAGGAAATGTCTTTCAAGTCAGTGGGTTTTGTTTAGGTTGAAGGAAGCTTTTTAGTAAGGTAATGACTGTAAAAAACCCCATTTCTTTTTCCTTCGGGTTGAGGGAGAAAGGTAAGAGAAGATTCAGTCATGTAAGGGAAAATACCTTTACTTGGCTTAATTTTAATCTATTTTATCTTGTGGGGCAAGAGAAGAAAGATTTATTCTTGCCTTTGCCACCTTGTATTAAATGTCTGCTGATGGAAAAGGCAAAAATTGTGGTGGAGACCCGAGGCTGCTAATTCTGACCATTGTGATGTTAACTATGTACGCGGAACAACTGGCACCCACTATTCAGTCCACCAGCCTTTGGCTTTTACAAATGAACAACATGAATTGAGGGGAAAAAAGTTTTTCTGCGTCATATCTGAAAGCCCGTCAGATTTTTTTTTCCTTTTGCAGAGTTAATCCAAACCTAAAAGATTTAAAGCCGACATTCGCATTAAAGACAGAGAGACTCTTTGTATTTTTTTGATGAAGAGGGGGGAAAAAAATAAAATCCCACAGAGGTATTTCCTTCCTTTCTGTACAAGAAAGCTCCCCCTCACTCTGTAGAAACCATTTTTGTCTCTAACTTTTCACATCTCTCCACTCGCAGGCAGGTCAGCTGGGAAAAGACGCCCGGTCCCCGTAGACAATGGGGTAACAGGAGCAGCCTGTTCGGGGCCGGGCTTCGGCTCCCTCCGAGAGCAGTGTGCAAATTGCTCTTAACGTGGGAGATCGGTGGGCCATGCCAAGCGGCCCCCGCCGCCCCTCCTCGAGGCCCTGTGAAACCAAATGGAACCTGCCACAAAAGTGGCACCCGGGGGACTTGAGAAAGGATCAGCCGAGGGAGCCACAAAGCCAGTGAGCTGGAGGGCAAAGGCCCCGCGCGGGGAACAAACACCCGCTTGTCTCTGCGGCGTGATGCTGGCTCAATGTCGGACCACGCGGGCTTCAAAAACGAACCAACGCTGCCTGAAAATTCAAGTTGCGGCAGAGGAAAGAGCAATTATTCTGAAATTTCCATGTGAACGTGCAGAGAAAGAACCTTTGAGAAAATACGAGCTCAAGTGCATTTGGCCAAGCCAAGGGGCTTGACCAGATAAGAAGGGCTTACCTTTTGACCCACAATGAGGTGACCCCTTGCACCTACATTCCCACACCAAAGAGGAGCACTTACTTCCTCACCTTCACAGTCCCCAGTTCAGTCTTGTAGGAGAGAGAATTTCAATGTGCTACCTGCCTAGAAGCCTTCAGTGACGTGGTTCTTAAGTCTGCCCCTCCTTCTACACTATAAATGTCAGGGTGGTACCCTATGACTCTTATTCTTGGATAAGGTACAGACGCTGTCTAAAAAAGAAGGCCCTTTGGGGAACTCTAAGACTATATCCTTGGACCCTAGTTGGAGCAGGACTGATGATAAACAGCCCTGAAAGTAGTCTGGCTCTGCCCTTCCCAGCTCTCAGACTGAGGGGAAGTAACTTCCCAGTCTTGCTTCCTCAACTGTAAAGTGGATTGTAAGAATTAAACCTGAGAATGTTTGTAAAGGGGATGCATTTATTATTAACAATGATTATCAACAAACTTTCCTTTCTTCATTTTAATTTTCAAATTTCTTTAAACCCGCTTGTCTTTTGTTCTTTCTAGTGATCTCTCCTATGAGCTTCAAGGAAGGAAATTTTTATTACAATATCAAATTAAGTGTAAATCAGTTTATAAATGTCATGGTTTTCATCACATTAATGTCACAATATACGCTCGTCTCCAGACTGAAATTGGCCAAAGTAACTGACCACTAATAAACTGCCATTCATCTCAATTTGCTAATTTAGGAAATGGAGATAAATTTTTTTTCATAAAAATTATTAAGGACTGTACAGCCATAATATATTAGTTTAGGAAGGCAAAATTATTCATAAAACAGTGCTATAAAACTTGGTTAGTTGTTTTTTTGGAGGGGAGGGCAGCAAGATAAATTAATATAAATTCCAGAGGGGTTAAGAGTTAATGTTAATAATAACAAAAAACCAAGAAGTGATTAAGTGTCTAGGTAAAGCTTTATATAAGGACTTTCTAAGCTTAAAAATAGTGAAAAAACTACAAAAAGAAATGCTTTAAGGAACTGACTCATAAAAATGTAGAAGTTCCACATGTTCAAAAAGAACATAACTAAAAAGTAAATGATAAACAAGAAACTGGGAGAATGACTGCCACAAATACATGAAATTCTGCATTAACATCTGGTTATATAAATAGACCATTATCTTCATAAGAATTGCTAAGGTCGCAGTAGAGTGGCCAAAGACCTGAGACGGTATTCACAAAAGCAGCAGCAAGTAATCAATAACATGGAAAAGTGCCAGGCCTCTCTGTAGTCATAGAAACACTACCAAATTAGATCGGATTTAAACAACTCACTATCACAGTTGGAAGGGGAGGTATGGTGCAACAGGTCTTTGTAGCAGTTTATATTCCCATCAGCAATGGACTCGCCTTTGGGAAAAGTATTTGGCGATGTGCATCAAGGACAAAACATTCATTCCTATTAATTTGATAATTCAATTTCCGGAACTGTGTGTTGAAATCTGGGACAGCTTTTGCACACAGGTTAGTATCCCACGAAACTGTTCCATAGTCACTAGTCCTGAAAGCACTCCCCCTAAAAAGCACGCCACAGCCCAAGGCTTAGAAAAGGCATAAACTCGGGGCCTGTCTGGTGGCGCAAGCGGTTAAGTGCGCCCGCTCTGCTGCGGCAGCCCGGGGTTCGCCGGTGTGAATCCCGGGCGCGCACCGACGCGCCGCTTAGCAAGCCATGCTGTGGCGGCATCCCATATCAAGTGGAGGAAGATGGGCACGGATGTTAGCCCAGGGCCAGTCTTCCTCAGCA